CACACACACACACACACACACACACACACACACTCACACACTCACACACACACACATTGAAACATTTGCTGCTCTAAGCCCGTGAGGTTTTCCAGCGATGGTCATGGAGGCCTGAGGCTCCGACAGCTGACGGCTCTGAACTCTCTCACTCTGTTTACACCCACTTTAAAATGCTTCTCTGATCCAGAGTGAATCCAGATCAGATTTTGATGTGATCACATGCACACCTGGTGTTAACATGTTTCCGCACTGAGATCTGATCTCTGTCCGGCTCCCGTCACTTCCTCCTCTTGTTCGGTCCAAATCAACAAACAACCGATTTAGACAGTAGAAGAAGAACAAAAGAATGTTTTTCTCGTCACTTCCTGTTTTCACCGACCAAAGCGCCTCTAACAACCCCTAGTGGCGGGCTGCAGTATAGGTCATGAACCCCACCTCCTCCATGTTAGCAGAGTTGAAATTCAAAGTAGATGTTGAATAAATCTTTAAATAAATAAATTATTGTGGTTTCTGTTGTAATCGAACCTCATCTTAAAAACCTCGACTGTCACTAACGTACGTCTGCGTCTCCTGGTTCCAGCTCTGGGCGACTTTGACGAACCTCAGCGCTCCAGTATCACCATGTTCGGAGTGTTGACCATCGCCGTGAGGATCTACCAGGATCGCTGGGGCTACGGGATCTACTCCGGGCCCATCGGATCAGCCGTCTTCATCATCACCGTCAAATGGGTGAGTGGCAGCGATAACAGGTCGGGGTCATCTCGTCTTCCATCCTCGTACTCGTATCAGTCGCTCTCTTGAATTCTGCGTGTGTCTAACCGTGATGACGAGCCGAGTGTCTCTTGATGTTCCAGCTGCAGAAGATGAAGCAGCTGAGGGCCGTGTACCCGGAGAAGAAGGTGTACACGCAGCAGGTCGGGCCAGGCTGCTGCTTCGGCGCCCTCGCTCTGATGCTACGTTTCTACTTCGAGGTGACTTTCATCAAATTAAATCTTATCCAGACAGATGAATATCAGAGTCTATCAGATTATTTCTTGTTCTTCATGTTGTTACTGGATCCGTGACGTCTTCATCATAGATGTTTTGTCTTTCGTGCAGGAGTGGGACTACGCCTACGTCCACAGCTTCTACCATCTGTCTCTGGCCGTGTCCTTTGTCCTGCTGCTGCCGAAGAAGAACCGCTATGCAGGGACGGGACGAAACGCTGCCAAACTGAGCTGCTTCACTCTGTGCTGCTGCGTACGTTGCATTTATTACATCTAAACATGAGAGTGGGCGTGGTCGTATGAGAGGGGGGGCCCGCCTCAGGTCCTACGGTCCTTTCATTATAATCGAATCTTTTAATTTTCAAAACAAAGTAAAGACCTATCTTTTAGTCTGGCTTTTAATTTAACTTTAATTTCCTAATTCCGGCTTCAGTTTTTCTTTTAAAACCTTTTTTTTATCTCTGGTTTACTGTTTTTATCAGAACAAAAACTTTCTTTAACTTTGTGGGATAAAATGTGTTTTGACAAATTCACAGAGAATGTTCCAGAAAATCATGAATCCTAAAGATAAAAATCTGACATGTTCGGAGGACCGGTGTCCACCAGCGTGTGTGAGTTGGTGCAGCTTGAATGAATTTACGGGACAGTTGGTGAAGTTATGAGGTCGATTCCAGTTCAGTTTTTCTTTACCTTGTTTCCTCTTTGTAGATTTAGGAGATGAACTACAGTGTTTTGTTTCGGTGTGTGGAGGGTGGGAGGTTCTGCTCTATAGATGTTGTTGCTTCGGTTCTGTTCTATAGATGTTGTTGCTTCGGTTCTGTAAAGCACTTTGTGGAATCCTGATAACTAAAGTCTGACTGACAGATTTACAGCAGGCGAAGGTTAAAGGATTTAATCTGTAATAAAAGACTCATCCTGTCTCTCCCTGCAGTCCATGTCCCCGGGCACAGTCAAAGACAAGACGGACAAACCGAAGAAGAAGAAGTCTCGCTCCGTGTGGACGGTCCCCACGGAGAAGCTGTGGACACGAGGCTGCAGCACCCCCACCCTGCCTCTCTTCAGCCCCCCGCCCTCCACACCTGTCAAAGGCACCAGCATCAGCAAACTCAAAGAGATGAACGGCTGGAAGTGAAGCGAAGACTTCGAGCGCAGGAGGACTTCATCCCGAGGAGCGGGCGTGGACGACGCTGGGAAAATCACCAAATAACTGTCGGCCAAACGCTGATAAACTTGTACGTGGCTGGTAAATTAATCTACTTCAGCAGGAAACCAACCATCATGTGGACGTTCCTCTCGACTCCAAAAAATCCTTTTGGCCAGTAGAATATTTAAGGTCATCAGCGACTTCAGGAATCCAGCCGCCACCGTAGCCAGTCGGTGAGGAAACGTCACATCAGTGCCCTGATGTGGTCGTTAAATTTTAAGGGCACGAGCTAAAAGGCGAGTCGGGGCCTGGAGGCCCTGGAGACCCGATAAGAAGACAGCTGTGAGGAGGCAGCGCGCTACGATCGAACGCACACACAGCACGGACAGCGAGACGGTGGCTGAGACGAGCCAGTAAAACTGACTGGAAGATTTACGAGGAGAACAAACAGGCAGATGGTTTATCTCTCCAAGATATATAAATTATCTTTAGAAATGTTCCTCAGGGGACGGCCTTCGTCTGCTCGCCTCCGTCTGTCCACCCCTCCTCTCCGTCAGGAAAAGGAACCACGCGGTTCGGCTCGTTTGTGAGAGTTACAAGACTGTAAAGCACATTTTACCGTTTTTATACGTCCTCGCGGTGCTAAATGTGTCATGAGGAGCATCAGACGCTGGAGTGAGAGGAAGCAGCGGCCCAGACGCCGGTCTGCGACCAAACTGAAGCATCTTGACGTGTTTCTGGATCGACAGGTGGACTCGTCTGTCTGAGGCTCTAATGTTCAGACTGTGAAACGTCTCTGCTGTAAACCTTCATCACCGCGTTATTTACTGCAGGATGTTGTATATTCAGTATAATGTGTGTTGTTTTTTAGCAAATAAAATTAAATGTTGTGTTTCTGTTTTAACTGGTCTTCAGAGAGTTTGGGGGAATTTTACAGCCTCACTGATCTGAACCATTATCATTTCATGAACTTTGTAGAAACTGACCATTGACAAAAACCCAGACTGGCACATACTTCAAGGCCTCCTCAACTCTAATCCAATCCCAAACTGTCGGATCCTGTTCCACTCTCGCTTCAGGACGACGTGGAGTTGTGCGTCCGCGCACGTCACCTGCCCGAACACTACCCAAAGACTACAAACGTCTTGTGCGTATCTTAGACAAAACAGTCGCCGGCGAAACGTGAATGAACCTCCCTTCCACCAGGGAATGTTTTGAGTCGGGGCCAAGCCGCCAGCTCCTGTGCCCAGAGAAAGGTGTTTTTGTCTGGGCTCGGAGACCCAGCTGGCTGGGCCACCGGCACCTCCCTGCTGGCTGCACCTCGCGGCCCTGACAGGACGGTAACTCGAGCCTTTTATTGCACAAGTGTGAAACACTTCTCAGCTCCTTTACGACCGCTGTCTGTCCCGCACCGCTCTGCTGAGGGGCTGAGGCCCACACACATTCAGGACTGTGTTACTACACTTGTGAAGACTCGACCGGCCTCAAACACAGATCACAGAATGTCGAATTAAAACTGAATCTGACTTTTGACCCGGAATTCAAGTTCTGACCTTCACAGAGCTGCTGTGAGGACCAGAAAAATGTCCTCGGTGAAGAATCAGCTGACCAGGACGACACATGGTCCTCACGAGGACAGAATCACTCACTCACACACGTCTGAGGGCCTGAACCTGTCCTCCGCAGGTCCTATCAGAGACAGACATTGATAGCGTCAACACAATAAGCCTTGATTGACAGTCCACGTGGTCGTCTGCACCCACATTCCCCGGTGGCGCGGAATTTCATTGCGTATTGAAATATAATAAAGAAATACATTCTAGACTGGAAGGAGGTTTTCTCTTGTGTTCCACGTGTTGCGGTTCGTTCGAAAAGGTAAAAGAGAAAAAAACACCGTGTCGGTTTTCATCAGAGTCAATTAAGCAGCGGAGTCCGTGGCGAGAAGCGACTGCGACAGACTCTGGTATGTTTGGCATGTTTGTGCTCTCGGATTCTCTCGATGGCGAGACAGCAGCGCCGGTGCCACAGGTCGTTTCTCCGAGGGCCAGCTGTTGCCACAGCTGTTGTTAATGCTGCGAGGTCAGCTGACTCTCAACACGGCCGAGTTCATCACATCTTCACTTCACGAGGCGAATATCACGGGTCAAAGTTCACCAGCGTGTGAGCGGGTTGTTCACCTCGAGCTTTACAGTAAAACTCACAATCACACCTTCTACACACAACACAACACTTTCTACACACAACACAACACGTTCTACACACAACACTTCACATCACTCACACAGTCGTCGGGGACAGTTCACTATGTTGCACACGACACTTCAGAATTCTGAGTAGAGGAGCAGTGACGAGCAGAGACTGACCTCTGACCTTCATTTTGTTCATTCAGCAGATGACACAAATCAAATCAGTCGATTTGAATCAGTTCTAAATGTTTCATGAGTGTTTATTGTTTTGTTGGAATATGATGATAAAAGAACTTTGGTCTTAGATGATGAAAGTCAAACACAGCGGAGCGTCCCCACGAACCCCACCAGTCTCAAGCTGTGTCTCTGACGCCCTCTACTGGACACAACACTGTGTTTTTAACATCAGTCATTCAAATTATTTACTTTTCACTTTCTTGTATGATGATGATGATGATGAGGTTTTTCCCATCAGCACTTGCAGGAGGCTCCTCACAGTTAACTCCTTCTCCTGTTGGTTCACACTCGACCTCCGTCCGTCTCCCTCTTCAGATGAGTCACCTGACTGAATCGCTGCGGCCTCATTGGTCAGAGTCGTCCGTCGGAGCGTCTCGCTGCGTCTGAATAAAGAAGCATGTTTATGTTTCCACTCAGCTGATGCTGCGCTGCTCGTTTGGTCACGTTAACATCATCTGTCACCGTCGTGTAGAAAGTGAATTTCTGACCTTTGTTGCTCAGAGACGGAGCCGCAGGCCTGGATGGCGTCTGTCAGCTGACCTCTGACCTCTTGTGCTGCAGGACTCGACAAAACATCAGAGACACTGCGTCCAGGGAACAGACTCATGAGCATCGGAGGCAGCTACACACACACACACACACACACACACGTATGTTTATTTTTAAGATAAATGTGATTATTACCTTTGTTAGTGTGTTCGTTCACAGGATCACACAAAAGCTTATATTTTCATTTTATCGCTCAGTGAAGTTTTTCTCCATCGTCAGATAATAATTCACGGAGCTCTGAAATCAATATTTAGAGAAGTGATGTCTGTGAGTGTGTTTCATCAGGAGATTGTTTTGTATAAACTTGATGTTCTTGTTGTGATTGTAACAATGTTCTTGTTATTTCTGAAATTAAAATTAGAGTTTTACTCTGACTGATTCAAACACCAGATGGAAAAGTTAAACTCTGGTTTAATTAAACTGAAGGAAACTTTTAGTCCATCAAACTCGTCTCGTGAAGACTCCTGACTGTGACGAGGTGCCGCTCTGACCTCCTCGCTGGTTGGATCCAAGATCAGTGAGCGGATGACGTCCTGTCGGGCCTCGTCCAGCCTCCGGAGCCTCCTGAAGGCCTTGGCTCTGCTCTCGTAGGACAGAGCGGCTGAGGGGTCGTACTGGACAGAGAGAGACAACACGTCCGCCGCCTCCTGGAAACGCCTGAAGAAGAACACAACACACAGATTCACAGATATCTGCTCACTGATCCTGGATCCAACCAACGAGGAGGTCAGAGCGGCACCTCACCTCGTCACAGCCAGATTCAGCATCTGTGTGTGTGTGTGTGTGTGTGTGTCTGTGTGTGTGTGTGTGTCTGTGTGTGTGTGTGTGTGTGTGTGTGATTCTCACCCGTCCTGGAAGTGGAGAGAGCCCAAAGTGTTGTGGAGGACAGCGAGGCGCAGCCGGAGAGCCGGGTCGTCCGGTCGCATCATTTCCTCGGCCTGCTGGTAGTCGGACAGAGCATAACACCACTCACCCTGTTTAAAGAAACAGTCTGACACACACACACACACACACACACACACACACACAGTGATGTTGGTTTGTTAGCTGACATTTTGAGGCCTGTTTTTTTAAAGGGGGGGGGGGGGTCTGACTCAGAGCTTAATGATTAAATCCAGTTGTGCGGTGCAGAGCAGTGAAGAAGTACAAACTGTGTTTACTGCGGTTGGAGAAATGTTGATCAGGATTTTCTGGTTTGTGTCCGGGTGATAGTTTCGGATCCACCCAGGTTTAATATTTACAGACGTCGTTATTTGAACAAAGACGTTTTACAGAAGTCTCACTCGAAGCAGAATCCAGCGTTTTCTGCCCTGAAGCAGCAAAAAATCTGATTCACTTAGTTTTTGATTAAATATGAAGCAACATGTTGAATCATTTTAAAAGCACTGATTCTGTTTGTTTTGGAGCAGAGGAGAACTCTGAGGAGGAGAACTCTGAGGAGGAGAACTCTGAGGAGGAGAACTCTGAGGAGGAGAACTCTGAGGAGCAGAACTCTGAGGAGGAGAACTCTGAGGAGGTTCTGCTGGTGGAACCCTCACCTCCTCGGTTGAGGTACAGTCCTGCCTCGTCCTTCTCCTCCTCGATGGCCTTGTTGAGGAGCAGAGCAGCTTCAGCGTACAGACCTCGGCTGAAACATTCAACCGCAAAGTCATTGTAGGTGAGAACCAGCTGAAACTCCGCCTCCGCTTCCAAAGAGCCGCTCTCGTCCTTCCTGTGTCCGACCTCCACCTGACCTCTGACCCCCTCCTCCTCCTCCTCGCTCAGCTCCACAGCCTGAACCAGATCCTCGATGGCGGCGGTGAAGTCTTTCAGACGTCGGTAGAGAATCCCTCTGATGATCATAACAAAGAAAAACATTTACCTGTTGGTTTCTAATAGAAACACGTAAGTGTCTCTGTTTCATGCATATAATCAACTTCTACACTACAATACTTCTTATAGTGTTCTTCTATGATTCTACGTCAGACTTTATATCTCAGCTGCTTCTTGTTTCCTGTTGGTGTTGCTCACCTGAACAGGTGGAGCCGTGCGTCCTGTGGACAGTTCTCCAGAGCGACGTTGATGCTGCAGAGGGCCTCAGGCAGCCGGCCGGTCACCGCTCGCTCCACGGCCTGAAGTCTGGCCCGTTCTCCAGCGTCCTGCAGCTGCAGCAGCAGAGCTGTGGCCTCCGGACACGTCGGGTTCAACGCCAGCGCAGACTTCACGTCCTGACGACACTGTGACGTCTGGACAGGAGTTCAGCTCATTTAAGATTCAGTGTGAGGAACTTTAACCAAATCTGACTGATTCTAAGATTCACTTTTGTTGTGTCTCTGCAGCTTTAACCTGCTGGAGTCGTCTGTGCAGTCGAGCTCTGAGGACGTAAAGGTCAGAGGTCGGACCGTCTGACGTCATCCAGTCGTTGACCAGCTTCAGACAGTTACCGTGACGACCTGCAGCTGCCAGACAGGCCAGACTGAAAATCACAAAGTCATCCACATTAATGTGGCACAGAAATAAAAAACATTCACTAAACTACCTAACTTCTATAAAACAATAATCATTCATCAATAACGATTTATAAATAACTGTGATGAAATATCTGTTCACAGTGTCATCAGTCCTGTCCAGTGTGAGACACAGCTGCTTTCACTTCAATCTAATAAACTCATATTAAATGTACTTATGAAGGTATTTCTGTTTCTACCACAGACTGTAAATAAAGATGGATGTGAAAACATCTAAATAGCCCCCTGGTGGCCGGCTGCAGAATAACTAGAAAGTTAAAGTACACGTTAAATAAATGTTTCCTGACAAACATCTGACATCATAGATCCACAGACAGTAGAAGAATGTTTTTGCTCGTTACCGTCTCGCAGCGTAGACTCTGCAGCCGGGCTTCAGCTCGGCAGCTCTGCTGAACGCCTCCAGAGCTTCTGGGAAAAGAGTTCGGTCGAACAGACACTGACCCTGAAGCAAACAGGAAACACAACGATCATCACGAGAAGAACGAAGCTGAACACGATGTTCGGCATTTTCACACCACAACTGTTTTAAATGAAACTTTTTGTTTGTGGGAATGTGTCGACGTGTTGTTGAGTTATTTTGTTCATAAACACACACAGGGGTAGAAACAGTGTCCTACGTCTGGGTAGCAGGGTGATAAACCCCAGCCAGAACTAAGGGGGCGCTGTGGAGACTCTTGCCTGGAGATAGTAGATGAGAGCCAAGCGGCGGCTGAAAGCTCCGGGCTCCAGGAGCTCGGCCTTTTTATAGCAGGCTGCTGCCGACTGGAAGTCACAGAGCTGCAGGTACGACTCCGCCTGAGCCACAAACATCTGAGTCTGAAAGACACAACTGAGGAGGTTTTAATCTATACAACACACGAACTGAAATCAAGACTGTGAATAAAGATGGACGACGTGACGGCTCCCAAAAGTGAAGCCAAAGTGTCTCCATTGCCCCCTGGTGTCTGGCTGCAGTATAGGTCAAAAAACCCTCCTCCTCCAACATTTATTTCTGCCCATCATCACCTGTGGAAACTCAGATTATTACACTTATTCAGGTGTAACTTTGTGTCAGCACCTGCTCCGGCTGCAGTGTGACGGCTTTAGAGAAGCAGATCACAGCTTTCTCATACTGACACGTCCTCATGGCCTCTTCTCCATTTGAGTAACTGCCAAGAAAAATACAAGTTTTATTAAACCCTCAAAACTGAGTGACTCTTCATTTACAGATATGTAGAAAACATATCTGAAACCATTTCAGGGAAAACTAAAGTCAGATACAAGCAGATGAAAATGTGTGTTTGTCAGATCTCAGTAATGGTCCTCACTGCTCTGCAGCTTTGTTCTGGATGATGAATCTCCCCTGCAGCTCGTTTCTCTGACGGAGTTTCTCTCTTGGAGCACGAAACATTTCACTGGAACCAAAAAGCAGCTCGAAGGTGTTTCCTGCTCTCTGCTGGAAATCAAACCACAGACCGTTTCCTCAGGGTTGTAAACTCACACAACAATTAGACCAACAAAACATGTTCCTCTGATATTTTATATAAACTCTGAGGAAAAGTGGTTTGTTCATTAGTTAGTAATGAAGTTAGTGAGGTTATAAGTTATGTACAATCATTTAAAAACATTCTGAAACGTTGTTTCCTGCTGTACAGACATCGGGTATTTTTGAAAAAAGAGATCAAATTAAGTGGCTGAAAATTAAAATGACAATGTTATTCTGTCATTTTCTATCCTAGCTGGTGTTAATATAAAATAATATATATAATATGATCAAACTTTCATAATAAAAACTGATTTAAACTCATTTAAAGTACAAACCACCAAAACCACTTCCTCTGGTTTGTGTTACCGTCTCATCTTTTCTCTCTTCAGGCTCCATCCTGTCGTTCAAATCGCTGATTGAAGCTGTTTTACTGACATTTTTCACTTCGTTGACATTTTTAGGTTTCTGCGTCATGTTGGTTAAATCTGGACGTCACCATGGAAACCACAGGCTTTTATTTTGAAAACAAAGAGTGGGATAGTTCCCTCACTTCTTTTCCGGTGTCGTTTGTTTCCGGACGTAATGAAATTTTATTTCTGGAAATGTTTTAGTTTACGACACAACACGGAAGTGTTGCCAACTCTGTACCTGATTCTCATTGTTTACAGATTTAAAACCCAGATTAAAAGATAAAAAACTTTATTCTATTCATTTTTAAAAAGCTGGAAACCTGCATTTCTGATAACTTGACGGTGACGCGTTACTCTGTTCCGATGGCTACCGGAAGTCTTTTACTTTGAAAAGAACAACCCCGGAAGTAGCACACCGGTTGATCAGCTGACTGAGTTGTTGACAAAGCAAAGTAACAGGAAGTAACAGGAAGTGAGGGTCCAGAGAAACAGCTCGGCTCTCAGGCAGCGGTCAGGCCGACATCAGCGCTCCACACACGGCTTCATGTAGTTCCATTCTCCGCGGCTCCTCCTCTTCCTCCAGCTGCTGCTGCTGTTGTGGTTGTTGTTGTTGTTGTTGTGGTTGTTGTTGTTGTTGTTGTGGTTGTTGTTGTTGTGGTTGTTGGTGGGACTCGGTCTGACCTGAGGTTGATGGTTTGAAGACGGAACAGAAGCTGAAGTTTTCTGAATGGAGACTCGCAGTGAGCGGAGGAGGCTGCTGGAGGACGGCGGAGGAGAGGAGGACCCGACCGGACTCATGTCTGAGCAGGACGCTTACCTGAGGTCAGTTCACCTCACCACACTCAACGATACAGAGAGACAAAGATACAGAGAGACAGAGACACAAAGAG